CCAGGCGCTGCGGTCCCTTGGGGAGGGATTGAGATTGGAGGGCCCACAGAGATGCTCCCTGTGTGGTGCTGACCAGGAGCTGCTGGTTCATAGTGGCACTAGGTTCATAGTGGTGCACTAGGTTCATAGTGGCCAGGGATGGGCTAGCATGTGGGATTGCATGCAAAGATTGTGGGGGGCTGTGGCAGCTTCTGGGCTTTGGCCCATGCCTGGCTGAAGGCAGGTGCAACTTGGGCCAGGGAGTGTGCAGAATTGTCTCCCCTGTGAGTCCCCTTTGGCTCTGGCAGCTAGATTTGAGCACAGGCCCTGCAGCCCAAGGCTCCCAGCTCAGAGATGCAACACATGCCTCAAAGGATGTGGGTGCTGGCCTGTGGTCTGGCCACACTGTGATCTCCTCTGGCCCTGAAGGTGAATGGTTGGATGCAGAGTAAGAGCTCCAGTGTGGAGCATCCCTGGTGTGGGTTATACAAAGTCAGAGCACTGTTGTGCTGAATCATGGGTGGGTGGAAGGGAGGTGGAAGTAGAGGGCACATCACCCGGTCAGTGGCCGAGCTCTGGCACTACCCAGCCTCAGCCTGAGAGGCAGACAGGGCCCAGCCAGCAAAGCTTCTGTGTGGCTTGGGCTCTCCAGTCAAGGCATGAGGGAAGCAAGGGCAGAATATGGACTGGCCACAAGCTGGGGGATGAACAGAGACATGTGCAACCCATCAGGGGAATATGGCTGGGGGTGCATTGTGCATCTGCCAAGGAAACCTCTGTAAGTAGCAAGGATCTGATAGCATACTAGGGGCGGGGAGACTGGAGGTCTGTTTCTGGCCCAGTTCAGTCACTCTGGGATCTGGGGTGAAGGCCTCGCTCCTCTGTCTGGGCCAGTCCAGAATCTCCAATGGGTGTCTATGCAGCTCCCAGGACAGCATGGCCCAGAGCTCATCATGGCCTCTTGGGGCTATATAATAGTCATGAGGGAAGCACCATACAATATCCAAAACCTAACAAGACCTGAATTCCCCCTGAACCAGGCAAGCTTGTCAGCCCCGCTGCAAACACGGCACAGGAAAGAGGTGCAAGCTGCAGGGAAGGTTTGGAAGGACCCTGGCAGCTTGGAAGCATTTCACAGGGTACTTGACACCACAAAGCAGACAATTGATGGCATTTAGCTCCTTCCTCAATCGTGCAAGATTCCAGGGATGGTGATGAAGCCTCCAGATGCACCCTCCTTGTGGCAGCAGCTGAGCCAAATAGAATGAAAGGTGGAAACTTCACATGACAAGCGCCAGGCTACTGCATGGGGGAAAGCATCACCATGGGAAGGCAGGATTAAGTGAGGTTTAATCACCTAAATCTGGAGATGGATTCATTGCCGTGGCTCTCGTGGAAAATGTCTATTCAGGGCTAGACAAAAGCAAGTGAATGGAATCAGGAGCAGCCTCAAACACAAACATCTCTGGAGATGAAAGAACAATTTACAGAGCAGATACGTCCATTCTTCTGTCTGATGGGAGCCACGGAGAGGGATTTACCCTCTGGTGCACACACAAAACAGCTGTGAAGAGCATCTTAATGAGGAGCTAGAGGTAAAATCCTGCCCCACAGCAAGTGCGCCTTGGGTGCAGTCAGTAGATTGCAAAGCAGAGTACATGGGCCTGACCTGGCCTACCACTCGCAGGTTGTCAGCTGACTCCAGGTGTGTGGGTCCATAGGTCCACTGGGGTTGGACACGTTGGGCCTCACTGCCCTGAGCTTTGCTTGGCCAAGTCAGGAGATGCCAACTGCAGGCCCTGGTGTGGGGACTGAGGCCGGGAGCCTGAATGGACCCAAAGGGAGGTGGAAGCCAAACCCCCTTGATGCTAAATGCATCAGGCACCAAGCAGCCCTGATCCTGAAGGGGTCTGTGATTGTGTGCACAAGAGTGGTGCAGCAGTTGTGCATAGGGTGGCCATTTGTCTGGTTTTATAAAGAAGTCCAGTTTTCTGGTCCTCTGTCCTCTATTGATATGAAACTGGACACCTTTATGTCCTCTATTTTTCACTGCTCCGCACTCCCTTCCCCCTCCACACACACTGCCCTGGCCACTTGCAGGAGCTCCCTGCTTGGCTCAGCCCCGCCACCACCCCTGCTGCGGCTGTCTGCGGGAGCTCCCCGCTGCCATGCCCCCACTGCCGACACCGCCGACACCTTCTGCGGGAGCTCGCCATGCCCCCCCAGCTTCAGGAGGTACATGATATTCATGATGGTGGGGTTCTTGAGGTACCTCGATGGCCACCCTACTTCTGCACCCAGTAATAGTGCACAACTGAGGCATCCAAGCACCTCCCAGCTCTGGGTCCATTTCTGTGGCTGAAAGTTTGGAAAATGCTCCCCACAAGGACAGCAGGGGTGCTGTGTGCAATCATCTCCTGCAAAGAGGGCAGGAGCAGGAAATTTTCGTATTCTACCCTGGGAGCTTCATTGCCCAATCTGGGTTGGGCTCCAGGTGCAGGACACTGGCAGGGAGCAAGGGTGTGGTGCCCTGGCCAAGGGTGGAGGTGGCAGCCGTACACAGGCTAGGAAACTGCAAGGCTTGACCATGGGTCAGGTGCAGCCTGAGCCGGGCAGGGCACTCGACCCAAGACACAGGCCTGCTGGGCTGCTTCTAGGCAAACAATGGCAGCCCAGCGTTGGCCTCCTGCAGTGCCATAGCCCAGCCTGGCAGTCTTAGCCACTCTGGTACTGGCCCATGAACTGAGGCCCTCACGAGCCAGGCCAGAGGGGCCCGATCCTGCTAGCATAAACTAGAAGGGGCTGTGCCCAGGTGTCCCTGGAGCAGGAGCAGGCATCTCAGGGTGCCAGGGAGCGCCGGGGGCAGGGGCTGGCTGGAACCCCAAGCTCCAGCTGCTTCCTCTGCTCCAGCACCACCCCTCTCCACAGAGGAACCTGGCTGCTCAGGCTGCTGGGCTCTGTGTGGGGCTGAATCTCAATTGGGGTTTGTGCGGGGCCTGATCTCAGTTGGTGGGGGGGGGTGCTGTGCAGGGCCCAGCACTATAAGGCCCAACCATCTCCGCAGAGCCTGGGAGGCTGGTTCTGTCCCCTGCACTCACCCGGGGCAGGTTGGGACCCTGTCAGCTGCCCTGGGACACTCACAGGTTTATGCCCCTGCTCCTGGCCCCACCAACCCTACACCTGAAAGCCATGTTGAACAGGGCCAGAGACCGACTGAAGGTGGAGGCCCAGGACAAGTGGGGAAGGACAGGTGGTTTGAGACGGCTTCTGTCGCTAGCATGACCTTTAATTTAGAGGCAAAATGTCTCTCCCATCTGGTCCCTTCCCAGCTGCCCGTCTGTTCCCAGCCAAGGACAGCAGAGTTAATGGGGCTGTAAACTTTGTGGAACGAGTGTCTTGTTGCAGCTAAAATCACCTTCCCACCCCCTTCAGCACCCTGGGGGGTAATGGAGCATGTGTTGGGGGGGCCAGGCTGGGAGTGGGGGATCCACAGCAGGAAACCCTGGAGCTGGCATCTGCTGGTGTCAGGCCTGGGTCTGGCTGTGCTGGAGGGCGGGGGGTGGAGAGGGAGGTGGTTCCTGGGAGGGAGCTGCCCCCACCCTAGGGTGGGTGGTCTGCTCAGTCTCCAGCTGGGCTGCGAGCAAGGCAGGGGTTGGGATGTGGGCCAGCGGTGTGAGACAGGCTGCTGTGGGCCCTCTTAGGTGCAACCTGGTCAAGCCCTCAGCTGACAGCACCCCCAGCCCAGGCCAGAGCCTCTCTTGCCCCCTGCCACCACTGGGCCCAGGCACCTGGGGCTGGGTGGGTGGCTCATCCTGTGCCAGAAGGCACAGGCCTGAAGCTCTGTTCAGGCTCCTTTGTTTTGAACAGCAGCCACAGTGAGTTCAGGGGGACTGACCTCCTGCCTCAGGCCAACCACCTCCTTCCACCTGCCTGAGGAGCTTTTCTCTGCAGGGTGAGGCACCGTCACCCCCTGTGGGCCCTCTCTGTGGTCTGTGTTGCTTCTCCCGTGTTGCAGAGCCAGGGTGGTGGCAGACCCTGCTTCAGTTCCTGTCATAGTTTCATAGTAGCTAGGGTCAGGAGGGACCTGAACAGATCATCTAGCCTGACCCCCTGCCACAGGCAGGAATGAATGCTGGGTTCACAAGACCCCAGACAGGTGATCGTCCAACCTCCTCTTGAATTTGCCCAAGGTAGGGGCGAGGACCACTTCCCTGGGAAGTTGGTTCCAGATTTTGGCCACCCTAACTGTAAAATATTGCCTTCTGATCTCTAACCTAAACCTATTCTCCATCAGCTTATGACCATTGTTCCTCATCACCCCAGGTGGTGCTGGGGAGAAAAGGGCTCTGCCTATTTGCTGTTGATCCCCCCTGATGAGCTTGTAGGCAGCCACCAGGTCCCCCCTCAGCCTCCTCTTGCTGAGGCTGAACAGGTTCAGGTCCTTCAGTCTCTCCTCATAGGGCCTGTCCTGCTGCCCTTTCACCAAGCGGTAGGTTGTCTGTGGTAGGTTGCAGCTGCTTCTGGGTCAGGCTGTGCTATCGTGGGCGAGGGTTTGACATGGTATTCTGGGGAGTCCTTAGGGCAATGTGGACCTGGCCCCAGGGGCCCACTGCAGTCCCACAGCACCCAGCTCTGGGGGGCTGCTCTCAGGCCCTGGGCTTTCTACCCTCACTGGCACCAGTGCTGCACACCAGTCTGGCTTGGCCATGTTTCTATGTACACCCACCACTCTGGCATGAGGATTCCCACCCCCAGCACAGAACCTGGTGCCCATGATGGGAGGGAGCAGGGTCCACTGGGCAGAGCAGCTCTGCACTCCCCCAACCCTGCTGCTACAGGCCAGTCCCCTCTGCACCCCAGGTTAGCTTCTCCCCCACTCACTGCTGCCCCCATTAGCTGCCAGAAGCAATCAATCCCTCCCAAGAGGTATGCTGCCCTAGCCAGGCAGAGCTCTTGCCCACCTACCTCTTCTATCTCCAGGCAAGCAACAATGAGGGAGTAGAACAAACCATGGAGTATTTTTATTTCTTTATTCCAAGCCATTAGTCTCAGGAGTTCAAGGCTTAAAAAGAACAGTGAAAATAAATGCATGGCTCTGAGGAGCCTTCATACAAAGCCTCTTGTAGGAAGAGACGTTAAAAAAAGGAGGAGGAAAACAGCAGTGAGTTTCCTGGGCAGCAGCAGGACAGAGAGGAAGGGGCCAACCCCTTTGACAGGGCCAAGGTAGATCATTCAGAGGGACACAGCAGTCCAGTGTCTCGGCCCTCCCTTACAAACAGGCTTCCACAGAGACTTGAGCCCTGGCGGAGAAGCAAACCCAGGCAGCTACTGAGCTCATGCCATAGTTTAAATGTGCCCTCCCTCCCCCCACAACTGGTTAGTAATCCCAGGGCAAGGCTGTCCCCAGGGGCAGCAAGTAAGTTTAAGGCTGCACTGCTGCAGGGGCACCAAACATGTCCTGGGAGGCATAGGTCATGTAGAGGAAGCCATCGTCATCCTGGCTGTCACGGTATACCTCCCCCAGGGTTGTGCTCAGGCTGGGCAGGCCACGGTTGTTCACCAGCAGGTAGAAGGCCTGGGTGGAAGTCAGGGACATGCGGGTGCTGTTGGGGAGAGAAAGTGGCCACCCTGTGAGAGGAGGGGCCTGGAGTCCCCTGGCAACTGGGAATGGGGGACCACCAGTCATACATGCACCCCCCTCACTGCCAAGGCATGACTTGCCCATGAACTACACATGGGTACTATAGCAGTGCAACCTGCTCTGCTCCAGGAAGCAGCCAAGGCCATGGCTAGACTTCCAGTCTCAGCACATGGGTGATGCTGGGGGCTGCTCATCTCTGTCCAGCACCCCCTCAAAGTGGGCTGGGCACTTCCCAGGTTTCACAAGGCTATGGCAGCTCAAGCTGCAGGGCTGAAAGCATTGGAGGCTGGGAAGAGCACCCCCAAAAATACATGGGGACCATGGGGTACACCAGAGGTTGCACACAGTCAGTAGCAAAGCAGAAGAGAGAACCCTAGTTTCTTGGACCCTGCAGCAGCTCCTAATGCCTGAAGCTCCTACCCTGCAAGGAGCTATGCTCTGCTCCCTCCGGTGAGCACAGAGGGCTTGCAGCCCTCCAGGAGCTGTGCCCCTGCCTCAACAGCTTTATCAGCCTGACTGTCACTAAAAGCAGAGGGACAGGGCACAGGTCTCGCCCTTGCTTGGCATTCACTCCCCATCAAACCCATTCTCTTCCTGCCCCCCAGGAGCTGCTCTGGGAAATGCCCCTTCCACATGGTGAGGGTGGCCTCCAAGGCCTAGGTGAATTAAGAGATCAGATAGCAGTGCTGGTTGGGGACCAAAGGGCTGGGATACAGACCTAATAAGAGCTGAGTGTTCCTGGAGAGGGCTCCTTTGATAAGGTGTAATGCTGCTAATTACCAGGCAGAGCCTCTGCTGTTGCCACCAAACAGCTTGTTTGCATCACTGCTAATTGCCTGCCTCTAATCAGCCTGTCTGGGCTCCCTCATTCACATGGCAGGCAGGGGAGAAGCCAGAGCTGGGCAGCATGTGAGTTTGTAGGAGCCACTGCAGACTTCAGAGGTAGGGCTGGGAAGCTGTGAAGTGCAAAGTGCTGTGAGGGGCATGGTGCAGCATGAGCCTGGTTGCAGGTTCCAGAGTAGGCAGCATGAGCACACCTGTGCCTTGCACTGGTGAATTGCACAAGCCCCAGTCAGGGGAGCTTTTGGCTTGGGAATGAGGCCAACAGGACTCATGCCAGGGGCAGAGAGCACCAGGCCCTGCTTCCCCAACCTCCACCCAGTGTAGCTCACTCCTTACCGCAGGGTGACCAAGAACTGGGACAGGGACAGGTCCTGGGAAACCAGGAACTTGGTGCGATCCAGGAGTGGCAGGTGCTTCTCTTTCTGGTACCGCTCCACTACCACCTGGCACAGGGAGAAGAGTCAGGTCAGGGCAGGCACTGGGCTCAGGTGGGTCATTCCTGTCTGAGCCATGGGGCAGCAGGAGTGGGGCATAGTTTCAGCGCTCTCTGCCCCACTGGGAGCTTGTACATGCATGCAGCCTTCTGCAGTTACAGCAGTCTAGAAGCTGGGACTTTGCACAGTGAGTTAGAGACTGCACAACTCATACCAGCCCCAAGCCCCTGCTGGACCACTGTCATGATAAACATCTTTGGGCAAGGGCCAGGCTAGGAGTGGATGCAACCCAACAGCTAGGCTCTTGAGTGCTGGAGGGGCCACAGAGTTGGGCTAGGGGCAATACAGGCTCCTCTACTTAGCAGCTGGGGGGGAAACCTGTGCATAGAGGCTCAGGCCAGTTCTGGTCCTGGGGTTCCCACATGTGTGCAGGAAGGGGACCAGCTCCAGGGTAGCCAGGAAGAATAGGACCCTTACCGGGATCTTGGTGGGGTGCCTGGCACGGATCTCCAACACTTCCCGCATCCTTGTGGCTGCAGTGAGAGGAGCAGACCCCTGTGAGCACAGCCTGTTGCAACCCCCCAGACACCTCTCCTGCCCCACCCCATGCTGTCCCCAGAACCCACCCAGGCTTTTCCTCCTCTTGAAGGGGGGACAGCTGCTCTGCCGATGCTGCATCTTCCCAGGTGGGCAGCCTGGAGCAACCCAGGCCTCACACTACAAATCCACTGAGCTGGTCAAGGCTGCAGGGCCCAGCTGAGCCCCTGATATAGGCTCGTCCCACCCACAGGCTCAGGATGGGGGAGGAGTCAGCCCCATGTTCTGGAGCCCAAGCTCTCAGCATAGGCCAATGCAGGGCAAGGCTGGCACTGGGGCATCTCGTTCTCCCAGTGCTTGCAAGAGGGCACAGCAGGGTCTGGGGGCTGTGTTTGGGTCTCCCAGGGTAGATGGACTGGAGTCCTGGGTTTGTCTCTGTGTGCCAGGGCAAAGACCCCAGTTCCAGCTGAGTTCAACTGCCCCAGCAGGGAGGACCTGGCTGTCTAGGCTGAGGAGTCTGCATCAGGGCAGCTGAGCTGATGACTAGATTCAAGGTTAATCCCTGGTGGAGACTGGGCCTCAGAGCCTAACATGTTTCAACTCCCAGGCAGAGCCTGGAGGGATTGGTTTGGTGGTTGAGGCCTTGTGACCTTCCACAATCTGCCTGGGTTTGATTCCTACCTCTGCCACAACCCTTTGGCGGGTCCTCAGGCCTGTCCCTTAATGCCCTGGGGGGGTGTGAGATTGCAGCTGTGTTGTTTTCTTGGATGTTCCCTGTTGAAAGTGTTTTTGGATGGGTTTAGTTCATGGGGAAAGGGTTAATGACTGGATGGAAGAGGGGCTGGATGTGGCCTCCTTGTTCTCTGCCCTTGGGATGGTTTCTGGAGAACTCCAGCTCTTTTTAGAGGGAAGAGATACAAGAGAGGGGAACAGGGAGCACAGGTGCCTGTGTGAGGGCCTACAGCTTCCAGCCTGCTGGAGTCCACAATGCTGCTGGTGTGAAGCCCCAGAGAGTGGAGACAGGGAGTCGATCACATGGGGACTGCTGCTATAAAGCCTGGAGCAGCAGGGCAGGGGCAGCCTGCTGAGGCCAGCAGAGAAACAGACCTCCAGAGATGAGGAGCAATTTTTTTCTCTTTTCTATTTTGGAAAATTTTGTTTGTTCCAAGTCAAATTAGCCAGATCAGTTCTGAATCCTTTTGATTAAGCAAAGCTCAGTCATTCAAACACCATATGTAGCACTGCAACTGGCAAGTATCCTTCACCAGATACTTCCAAATCCATCGGCAGGCATCCTACGTGCCGGTCCAAGCCTTGAGGCTTGGGGTTTGGATACCCCCAAGTCTTGCTTGCCTTCAGCCAATGGCTGCAGGAGCAAGCTAGGGAGGGAGTCCCCCATTTCCATAAATCCAGCGTGTAGCTGAGATCCTCCCACTGGAAACTGGCCAGTGGGAAGCTAACTATGAGGCTTTAATAGGGAGTCCTATCCGCATTTGAACCAGGGTGCACCCTTCACTGCACACTGCAATTTATATCCATTTTGGCTCAGGTAGCAGACCAATGCAGCGACTACACTTGATTTTAGCCCACGAGAGGCTGAGACCTCCAGGGATGAGGAGCAATTTTTTTTTTTTTTTTTTTTTAAGGAAAATTTTCCTTGTCCCAGGTCAAATTAGCCAGATCAGGTCCAAATCCATTTGAATCGTCTAAGACCCACATGTGGGCCTGCTACCAGCAAGTGTCCTCTACCCCAGCCTGGGACTTCAGATCTTTCCAAATCCTTTGGCGGACATCCTATGTGCAAGCCCAAGCCCAGAGGCCTGGGGTTTTGATGCCCCTGAGTTTTGGTATATAGCTGAGATAGTGGGCATTCCTGCCTTCCACTGGAACCAGGTGGGGACTGAGCTGTCAGCACCAGCCAGGTGGGAGCACACAACATTAACAGTTTGTTTCAACCTTTATTTTGTGTTGTGTTTTCCTCAGTCACATGGCAGGAATAACTTTCCCCTTGTTATTAAAGTTGGGTGTTTTTATCTCTGAAATGTAGCTATCCTTTGGTTGGGTATGATCCCTAGCAGGGAGTTTGTGCCCTCACAGCCTTGGCCAAGGCAGTTCTTCCTTGGAGGCACTGGGCATTGGCTGCAGCCTAGGCTGGGGACGGGGACTGGGCTGTGCCAGTGCTCCTCCTGGGACTCAAACTCTGAGGGTCCTGGCTAGAGGGTCTTGCCCCTCTGCTCAGGGTCAGACTGATGCCACATGTGGGGTCAGGAAGGAATTTTACCCCATGGTCAGTTTGGTCTAGGAGGGGTTGTGGGGGGGTCTTTCTCTGTAACAGGGGAACAGCCTCTACCTGGGAACTCTTGAATGTATTTTAACAACTTTTGCAGCAGCAAGATGTTGGTTGCTGCAGTCCCGTTTTCCCTGTGGCAGTGTTGGGTGTGATGTCTGTGTTGTGTCAGGGGTGACTGTGTCATTTTGCTCAGAGGTTGGACGATGGGTTTGTCTGGGCTGTTTTGGACAGGGCTGATCCTGCCTCAGGTAGGAGACTGGATTAGATGTGACCTCCGAAGGTCCCTGCCAGCCCCACTTGTTCATGATTCTAATCCTTGTGGAAACTGCAAGCCCTGCTGGACCCAGGTGGGGTTTTGGGGTTGGGAGGGAGATGGAGCAGAGGGGGTCTCCTGCTGTGCATCCTTCCCTTATGCTCATGTTAGTGCAGGGTCTGGAGGGGAGTCACCCTCATCTGAGCCTAGCAGGGCTGGAGGCTGGACCGCCCTGCTAGTGCTGTGTGCGTGGCTCAGGCCTCGCCTTGTGCTCAGGGCTGTCCTGTGCCAGGGGAGCTGCTGCGAGATGGAACAGGACCAGGCGCTGGCACTTGTGCTGTCACTGCCCAACCCAACAATAAACATGCCTTATCTTGACATTTTAATTCTCCCACTATCAGGATGTTGATTTAATGTGGGCCCTTTGTCAGACAGGCTCCCTGCCTGGTGGAGCAGCCAGCTCATTCGCATGCCAGGGGTGTATTTCACGCAGTGCCAATTCCCTGGGTCAGGAGAGAAGCAGCTTTTGAAAACAAATTAGACCCCATTACGCAGATTAGAGCTCCATTCATCTCCTTGCTTTCCTCTCCTTCCCGGAGCCACTGAGGCAGGTTTGACACTCTCCTCCCCTCCCCCGGAGCAGCCTATCTGCCTCTACCAGGCTTCTTGGATGGAATCCCCCGTGGGATGGAGAGGGTGGATGGGGGACACTGGGTGACCCCCCATGGCATAAGGCCTGTGTCCCCAATGTGGGGGATCCTCTCCAGGGTGTGTCACAGATGGAAGCTATGCTGGGAAGGTGTATTAACATGCTGTGCTCCCTGCAATGCTCCTCACTCAGCCCCTGTGGCCCTGCCTCCCACCCCACATATGCACAATGCTTGGGTGCCTGTAAAGGGGCTGAGGTGGGGCCTGGGGCTGGGTTGTGTCCCAGCCCCACCCAATCCAAAACAGCTGGAGAGTCCGTCTTGCAGTCTGGGCCTTGCTGTGCCAGGTGCTACCCGCTCTGCCCTGGAGTTTAGCACCAGAGACTTGCCCAAGGCCAGGGAACTGGGTGGTGGCAGAGCCAGGAAGGGCATGGGCTCCCTTAGGCCAGGGCTCCACCTTGCTGCTGGCTCTGATCTTTGCCTGGGGCTGGGCCACCTTGAAAGGGGAGGTGGGAACTTCCCTCCTGTCTGCACCTCCTGGCCCCTCCGTGTGCTTTGAGGTGTGACCTTCCTTACAGGAAGTGTGAGGGAGCATGTGTGCACATGTGTGTATATATACACATGCCAGCCTGCATCTCAGTCATGCTCTGCTACCAGACACCGGTGTTGCAGTACATAACACGGCAAAGGACAATCTGTCATCTTATTTTTTAATGTATTTCATATACATATTTAATATATTTTTGTATTCTGCAATATATTAGACTGTATAACTTTGCCATAAAAAATCCCTCAGACATGCTCATCACTGGTTTGGAAAATTACATTAGCAATATATATTCCATCTGCGTAGCACACTAGACCATTATCAATTTATGCTCCTAATAAATTTAATTCCTGAAACTTTGAGTGGGCTTCAGAGGGGAGGTTCGCAGGGGAAAGGGGCATTTTCATGCCAGCCCATTTCTGAACAATAAACTGATGAATATTAACGAGCACCTCGCTTTGCTAATAAAAGGCATCGATTACTCAGCACTACCTTTGTGCTGAAGCAAGAAAGAAGAAACTTTCAAATTATTTTTCTTTAAACCCCTCCCCCCCCAAGAATAAAACCCGCCTGCTTTTCAAATGATCTCGTTAAGAGCCAGCATTTATTATTTATCGGTTTAATTTTCAAATAGGGCTGCACAGTCAGGTCGGACTCTGGAATCCCTGGTCTGCAGGGGAACGTGATGATTTCATTAGCCTCAGCTCATTCATTAGAGATGAAGGGAAATTGATTTCCCTGATCAGGGGGCGGGTGTTTAGTGAATGTTTGTGACGCAGCAGGTCAGTGCTGCCCCCTTTGCCTCTGCCATTGGCTAGCCCTGCCCCAGACATCTGTGTCCCCATGTTTCGAGACTCAAACTGGGGCATTCAGAGCTTCTCAGGCTTCTCACTGGTCTCTGGGTCTAGCTTATGGGTGTCTCCCAGGGCAGGATGGTTCCTGCTACTGTGGCTTTACCAGATGCCCTGATCGGGGTAATTGGAGAGCTCCTGATTGGGGCTGAGGCCAGATGCTGGTCTGGGCCTCTGCAGGGGGACATCCCCTCCCTCAGCCCAGCTGCTGCCCAGTGCTAAGAGAAAAGTACTGGGAGATGGGGCCCAGCTGGGTCCATCTGAATCTGGGTCTATCAGTACTGGGTGACCCAGGCCTCAGGAGGCTGACTGGCAGCTTCCCTGCCTGTGGCGACTGGCTCTGAGGTGCTGGCCCCCATCCCCAGGAGACTGGGGTCTACCAACAGGATAGATGGAGGCCCCACTGTGCCCCATGCTGGCAGAGAGCTCCTAGAACCAGCCACTTTGCTGCTCCAGAGGCTGTGAGACCTGATTGGAAGTGACAACATGCTCGTGGCCCAGATGGCTGTGGCTCCTCAGTAAAGCACTGGGATTAGCAGAGGCTCAGGGTGGTGCCTGGAGGGAGGGGAGGGGATGCAGTGCTGAGGACCAGGGCATGAAACAG